TAGCTGCCTTGGGCATTTCTATTTAAAACAGAGGGAGGGCTGGAAATCTTTTTATAGACCAGTGACGTGTACGATCCTATCCAGAGCTACTCAGAAGTAAGCGGCAGTGTGTTGAATGAGACCTGTTCTCAGGTAAATGTGCTGAGGATTGCTGCCTGAATCTAAAGAAGTTGGAAACCCCTCATGGCTCAATGAAATGAGCCACACCGTGTGCCCGGCTGCTCGCAAAGAGTTTGGCACTCGAAGCAAAGCGGTGCTTTCAGACTCGCCACCCCCAGCAGGCAGCTCTGCCTCCCACTGCCTGAAGAATACACAGCCACACTCCATATGGATGGCAGCAGTCTCTTCCTGAATATATCAGATATTTCAGTTGTTTGAAAATACCTCTTCTCTAAGTGAGCGTCTGATACATGGACGTATAGAAAAAAATCCAGCACCTGGTTTGGTTGAGCAGGTTCGATATGCTCGAAAAGGTGTCCATCGCGGCAAAGGTTTTCCTTTTGTCCTGATTCGTCTTTGTCTCTCCTCGTACGCTCATCCTTTCCTCCGTCGTTCCCCTTTTGTTTCCCCAGCAGCACCAGTAGTATTTCTCTATGGGGTTTCCTTGCATTGCATGGCCAGAGAATCGCATAGGAGGCTGAGAGTCCTTCAGGTTGAGCTTTCTTTAAGCCGGCCCCAAGGATGAAGTTAGAGGAGCAGCACTCCACCCAGCACCACGCAGTTTTCTTAACCAGGCAGCCGTCCTTTTGACCTTGCAGTGGGTTAAAGGACGTGGGTCTGAGAAGAAATCTCTTCATCATGTACGGAATCCATGCCGTCCCTGACAGTGTGCAGTGAGCAAGATGGATGATCTGCCACGTCGGTCCCGCGCATGGGCGCATCAGGGCAAATTTACAGTGCCGTTCGTTTGCTGCTTGCCATACAAAAATAACATTTGCCGGGCTTCGGATGCTGCAGCTGCACCGCGACCGGAGGCCAAGCAGAGAAAAGAAATTAGAGCTGTAGCCCCTGAACGCTTTGAGGATTGCATATGGACTGAAGTGCTTCGGAGAGCAAAAGGGATGTCTTTTGTGCATCTTTGATGAGGTGGCCAAAGACAGACAGACACGATTTATTTGAATTGAGAGGGACCTTTATAGAAATGTCAGGATACCTTTTTAAAATATAATTTGATTTGTTTTCTTTAAAGCTCAGTATTGAGTCAATAGCTTTGATTGCACGGAGCTCCTCGGTCATTTCACTCGGCAGTGTTTATTATCGTATTTGGGAACCTCCTTAGGAAGAAGAGGCACAGGGAGGGTTGGGCTGGATTCTTCCCACTGGGGGCCAGAGAGAGGCCCCCCGCCCAGCCTCTGTGCCTCATAACGCCAGAAGTTGGGGGTCACCTGGTGAAGTGGATCAGTGAGAAATCCAGGCTGGCAAAAGGCTTCTCCGCACCGCGTGCAGCCTAGGCTGTGGAACTGGCTGCCCTAAGATGTGGACTTGGCCACCAACCTGGCCAAGTCCATGGAGGAGAAGGTCGTTCATGACAACGAGATTTGGGGGCCATGTGCCATGTCCAGGATCAGAAGCTGCATCCTTCTGGAGCCCATTTATTTTATTAATGCGCATGTATTTATAGGCTGCCTATAATTGCCGAGGCCTTCCTAGGCAGCTTACTATACATAAAATGTAGTAACAGAGTAAAAACACATTACAACCAATTAAAACATAACAAATTAAGCATCTATAAAAGCAATTAAAAAGGGCCACAGCATGCAAGCTAAAAGTTTAAAAATTTCCTAAAAAGCTATGACTTTGCCTGGCTCTGAAAGGAAAATAAAGATGGCACCAGGCGAATTTCCCTAGGGTGGGAGTTCCAAAGATGGGGGTTTGTCAGAGTATAATAACAGGGGTGGGGGGCCTTGTGCTCTTGTCCAAGGGAAAACCCGGCTGGCATGCAGGCTCTTCCCCACTCTTTGCTTGGACAGAACTGTGCCCCGATGCCTTTCCCAGAGTCCTTTGCAGCACACGGGCCCTGCAGCGGCTCGCAGCATGCTGGGTTTGCAGGTCCCGCCGGCAGGTGAAACTGCACGCAGACGAGCAAGGAGCCGCACGGCCTGGTGCTCTGGTGCCTCCGGAGCGGGCGCACGCGGGCCCTGCCGCCTGGGGGTTGCGAAGAGGGCGGTGGTCCCCGGTGCAGAGCGAGCGTGTCTGTACTTACTTGCTGGCACCCTGCGGGGCGCGTGCGCCCCTGGCATGGCGGGTGACTCCGCAGCTTGCTCTGCTTTTCCCCAAAGCAAGTATGAATACTCACATGGGAAAAAGAAGCTCGGAAAGTGACCCTTCATCTCTTTTGGCAGGATCGCAAGTTCTTATTTGAGCAAACATTTGGCCGAGGAGAGCAGAGAACCTATTTTAGTCCTTTAGTTGAGTGTATTATATATTTTGCTTCTTGCCCAGATCCCATGGCATGCAGCTAGGAATAGGCAGAGTCAGAACATTGCTGATGATGGAGCTCACCTGTTCCTGTCTAAATGGGACCCAAGACCTAGGGAGGCGGTGGGCTTTCCTGCACTGGAGGAGTTCAGGGTGGAACTGGACCGCCCTCGGAGGGGGATGGCTTGACTTGGAGTCCTGCATTGAGCGGGGATTGGACCTGAAGGCCCTCTGGCCCCTTCCAACCCTCCTCTTCCACGATTCCGTGGGCAGGCGAATCCAAGCCAAAACAAATATGAGGAGACACACCAGCTTCCTCACTGACTTATCTGAAAATCTCCAGCTCAGAATCCAAAGGCCATTTTCCATTTTCAGCCCAATTCTTGCCACCAGTGACTGATGGGAAGAAACTGAGTGCCGATTTCTGCTTGGCCAAATGGAGACTGCATAATACTAAAATACTTGTTCTTAAAGAATTTCTTGTATGTAGAAGATACATTCTACCAATCTCTATTTATTTCTTTAGCATTTGGCTTGTCATACTTGGACTTGTGATATATATTAGCATTGTGCCCATCTCTGTTGAACAGGGACACCCCCTGCTTCCCATACTTTTCCTCGGTGACGCACCATCTCATGTCTGTCTCTGTTTCCCTTTTCGGGTTGATGTTGCGAGCGCTTCCACTGCTTTCATTTCCCTCCCATGGGGCTTTTAAAGATTTCGGGAACGGGGGGAGGCGGAGTGTCATGGCCCTGTTGTACACAAACAGGCCTGCACACCTTCCCAGCAGGCCCATAAGTTCAGCCAGATGGACGGCAGAGCTTGGATTCTTTGCCAGAACTCTCCCATGCCCAGTTCCACGCGCCCGGAGCCCGCAATCTTGTGTTGCCCGCCGGGGCAGGGGTTGGGGCACTGACAATTTTGCTGGGTGACGAGAAGTCAGCAGTCTGTCCTGTGAAATGTTGGCAGCGTATTGCTTGCAAGAGGCAAAATTCTGCTCAGGTACCTCTTTGCAGCACCTTGCCTGGCTGCTCCCAATTCCTGAAAGAAACGTTAAGACCTGCCTGGTTTGGAACACATGGGGGGAGTAGAGAAACAAAAACCCGTTTCTGAGTTTTACTTAATGGGACATTCCTTTCATAATTACTTTCCCATCTCCTACACCATTTTTCTTCCTAGCTGTCAGAACTTAACATTATCGGGACAGCTTTTTGTTTATTGACAAAAGATAACTCATTAATAAGCAAGATGCATTTTTGCTTGAGGCCTGACCCTCAAGAGGAGGCCAAAGACCAGCTGTCCTGCTGCGCTTAAAAAATGTGGTGATGATGAGGGACACGGGGGGGCGGGATTCTCGATTTGGAGATGCGGAGTCAGAGTGCTCTGTCAGGCACACGGGTTGCTCTGTGTGTGCAGACCATCCGGTTTTCATGGACCCGCAAGGCAAGCACAAGGCTGTGTTGGACATGGCCAGTTTGTGTTCCCTCCCTAACACACCCACCCCTTCGCCACCTCATCGTCCGCTACTCCCGCGCACAAAGAAACGTTTGGCAGGGTCACATCGGGGTGGGGGGGCATGGGCTATATTGATCTGTGGATTATAAATCGGGCCACGAGAAAACCATCGTTCTATTCCCGGCACCCTAATGCTAGCCCTCTGTAAACAGTCTTGTAGCTAGTAAGTGGAGAAGTAAAGATCCTCCCAACCTAAAACACAGACTAATTAAAGCTTGAAAAATTGTAGAAAGTGCAGACTGGAACAGAATATTCACACTTCAGAGAAAATGGAACGTGGAGATACATTTGCCTGTGTTGTCTGCATTGCTATAAACAAGGGGTTGGACCCTTGTTCCCTCCAGATGTTTGAGACTAGGAGTCCATCGGCTGCAGCCAGCAGAGCCAATGGCCATTAGTTGTGGGAGATGGCCACAACGTCTGCTCACTGTGGTATGAGCATCCTCGTGTTAGCAGTTGTACTTCGAATAATGAAAACGTTGGAATTAAGTCAAGCGGTTAGATTTTTTAAAAAAGACCAAACGATCGGTTCTCATCGAACTCTAGATGACATGAGCTCTCTGAGCTCTAGAAAGAGTCTTTCTGTCTGCACCAGGCTGCTGGCAAAACCCCGTAAGTGCTTATAGTTACAGCGCAAGGGTGGCACAGAGAACATTTTGGTGGAAATCTGCCCGCAGAGAGCCCCTTGCTCAGGGATGTATGTGCTCAGGGTCCCAGGTTTGCTCTCGACCGGAGCGCTTGGAGAAGGGTGGCTGTCGGAGGGGACAGTGTGCAGTTGGGTGCGCCTGAGCTCACACGAAAGCGACTTCAGATGCTCACTGCTGTGTGTGCCTTTTTATAGCATTGAGACGTCAGTTTATTTTTGGCACGGATATGGAGTCTGCTAGAGTCTTCGAGTAAGAAAACGTTGCCAGGCATTTAGCCAGGGCTTAAAAGAGGGGATTTAATGGTGAATGTGGAGCACGGGCGAGGGTTTGGTGGTCCTTGGCTCAGGGAAGGGGGACCTTGATGAACAAGCTTTGCTTAAGCCATGTTCCCCCCCACTTTTCCCCCCGTTGCTTTGCAGACAGCACCCCAAAGACCTCTGCGAGCTGCAGCCCCGCTCCCGAGTCTCCCATGAGCTCCAGCGAGTCCGTGAAGAGCCTGACAGAGCTGGTCCAGCAGCCCTGCCCTGCTGTGGAGACGAGTAAGGAGGGCCAGCTGCAGGAGCCGAGCGGGCCGTCCGCGGCGGATTGCCCGTCCACAGCGCCGCTGCCCCTTCCTGGCCACTCATCGCTCAGCATCCAGGAGCTGGTGGCCATGTCGCCGGAGCTGGACACCTACGGCATCACCAAGCGGGTCAAGGAGGTGCTCACGGACAACAACCTCGGTAAATGCCTTCTTGCTTAATACAGTCATTCTAGGAGATTGAGGGGTTTCTTGAAACCAACCGCACGGTTATTCGCTTTTCACTATGCTGGGAACAAGAACGGTGCAGGCAACTGGTTTTGGACAAAGGCGCACTGGAAACTCTTTGGGGAGTCAGGCCAGGCGTCTTCCAGGGGCTTCAGAGTGCAACTCGCAGCACCCCCAGCCAGCCTGGGAATTGCAGTCCGACACCCCTGGAGGAGACCAGGCTGCGGAAGGCTTGAAGCAGGAGAAGGGAGCTTTATGGCCAGGGAGGAGGGCGATGGCAGAAGCTGCCCACTGTCCCGGGGCAGTGCGGAAATCCCTCCTGCCTTGACCCTCGGAGCAGCACCACCAGCACTGTCACTTGTCTCAAGGTTCCACAAGGGCCAGAACCCCCCGATATCCAGGCCCACCTCTTGTCAACCCTCCACTGGCCATGTACCCACCCTGGCGCATTTGGGGGTGAGGGCTGCATCCCAGAATAGCCAGAGCCCCTGAAGGGGGAAGCAGGGAGGGATGCAGCAGGGGCGGTCAAGAGAGCAGGTTTTACCCCGTATGGAAAAGCCCCCCGTGCGAGCTGAGGGGATGGATCCCTGTTTGTACTGAGCAGGCAGCCTGCAGCGTCGCCTCCAGGACGGCCTCCCCGAGATCTCCACAGAGGCCCGGGGCAGTGTTCGGGATGCGCGGTCCGAGGGCGGCTCACGCGAGGCACACGGGCACGGGCTTCGTTCGCTGGGCATGGCCAGCGGCAGATTTCACGAAGGACGTGGATGGTGCCCGTCCCGCTGATGCTGTCACACTTACGCTCACAGACGTGGCCCGGGGCTGGGTCCCACACCACTCACGTCACATCTGGACGGTTCAAGGGGGTCCCTTTGCCTGGGCCCACACCTTTCCTCCTTGGACCAGCCTGGTGTGGGGCCCCCTCACGATCCCGGCGACACCGTGTGGCCTCATCATCCAGGCACGCCCCCTTCCGTAGCCTTGCATCACCGGCAAGCGGCTGGCACGGATCTTTCACTCCATGGAGTTCTCCCCCAGGGGAATCACACACGGTTTGCCGTTGCCAAGAAGGCAGCTGGGGGCACAGGCCACCCGGCCAAGCGAGAGGTCAGGGAATGGCCATTTCTGTGGGCCAGCCTTCCCGCAGAAGGAGCTCCCACACCAGCAGGCCCCCTTCATTACTGGCAGCGAGGCGGCGGAGAGGCAGTGGGGGGAACTTTGTAAGCATCGGCTCTCAGGGAACTGCACTGCTTTTCTCTTGATATGGCAAGGTCCAGGGAATGAAGAAAACAAGTTGTTTCACTTATACCTCTGGGCATGTTCCTCCCCTACTTGGCTACTTCATACAGTACGTGGGTGCTGGGGAGAGGCGCATTGTTTTCCGTAGATTCCTTGTTCCTGAGAAGAGAGGAAAATGGTACTGAAAGGCACAGGGATACTTTTCTTCTACTTCCTAGAAACTGTCTGTATAAATTAAGTGTTCAGCAACCAAGCTGCATTGTTGTTGCTTTGTGACATCAAGTCGTCTCCCAACTCATGGCGGCCCTGGGAACGAGGCCCTCCGGAACGGCCACCCCATGACACCCCAGCGTAGCTGTTCTAAATTCAAGGCTGCCGCTTCCTCAGTGGTGTCCATCCATCGCTTATTGGTGGGTTCAGGAAAATACGACAGCAGCACACAGTCGCAAGCCCGGTGCCAAGTACAGGTGGAAATTTGGCCCTTCAGGTTCCCCGTCATCAAAACTTGCGCCACCACGTAGGAAGATATGAAGCCGCCCTTTAGGTATCCCTCGCCGTATTCCTTAAGAGTGTGATTTCAGACATTTGCCTTGGAGGCCTTCTGTACTTTGTCTCTCAGAATTTCAGGAGGTGCAGACCCTCATCGGTGAGATAAGTAGATCGACACAGACATCTGTGTGTGTGTACGTGTGTGGTATACATGTACACACATACAGTGTGTACACCACACAGATGGCATACATGTACACACATACAGTGCTTTTGAAAATGTAGGGCTGTTCTCCAGTTATGCCAAGACACCGAGCTTGGGCTGCCCAGATCGGCCCAGTTGCTCGCTCGGGTTCTGCGATGGGAGGGTAACCATTCTGTTGGGGTGAAGTTGCTGTATTCCAGGCAGCAAGGGTGGTACTCGTAGGGGGCCTGCAGGGTGGTGTATGCTTTGTCGTTGCATGCTCGATGCAGGGACGCTGGTTTACTGTCAGCCATTCTGCAACCAGGAGAACCAAAACCAGCAGGTTCACTGTGCGCAGAATAAATTCCGCGAAACATACGCAGGTGAATACTGAGAAGGCACAGTTCACGGATGCAAGAGAAACATTAGCCAAAGCATTAGCAATTGAAGATGGTGCCGTGAGCACTTGAACAGGTACTCCAAATTGCAGTCTAGCAGCAGTCATGAAGTTTGCAAAGGGGAAAGAGGTGCTTGGGAATCTGGGTGTCTTTGGTGGGCTGCAACTGGGACCAGAGAGCTATGCAGTAGTCCATTCCTCCTCCCCACATCCACCCAGACCCCCTCTAGTTTTAGGGACATTAGTAGACGCTGCCCTCATTTTTGCAATTTTTTGCCCCCTGCTCATTAGGACTAGAAACTTGGTTTTTTAAAAAAAAATCAAAAACAAATCTGAGCTTCCCCAGAGTCCATTGGCTACTGTGGATTCCACACTGGAATTTCTCTGCGTGTTTCAGAGTGTGCAGAAAACCAGGGTCCCTGATTCTGTCCTCCTGCGCTCCAGGAGGAACATGAAAAAAGTGCTTTTATTGACTCTTGTTCTGATGTCACTTTTACATAAAATCTTTTTTCCCCCTCCATGATTTTTGTTTTTCTACAGCGTGGCTGACAAGCCTAAAACGCAGCAGAAGAGGCAAGAAATGTACCCCAAACCTTGCATTAGGTGTGGAACACTATTTCAATGTTTCCTTTTTGCCCTCTGTTTGCTCAGTCTCTAGATTTTCTAGGGGTGGAGGCACAGTTGTTTTGGGGCCCCTGGTTGTCTGTATCTGCCTCAGCCAGTGTCGCCAAGTGGCTTCCCGTTTGTTTTCTTTTTTTAGTTTTAAGATGGCAGTAAGGTGGAATCAGCCACAATCAAGTGGCCTGGGAAGGAAGAATGCGACAGGCGGGATTAGTCCTCTAGCCCCGGGCATCGCGAGTCTTTGCTTCCCATCTCATCTTCAGGGGGGTGGGAGAACGCTCTGCTGGAGACCCAGGAGAGCCACAAGCAGGGCAGTCGGTCTTGGGCGAGGTCAGGGCGGGCCGTTCGCGGCCTTCCAGATGTGTCGGCCTGCCGCTCTCATCAGCTGTGACCAGCATGGCCAACGCTGAGGACTGACAGGCGTGTTCAGCCAAAGCATCTGGAAGGCCACAAGCTGCCCACCTCTGGACTAGACTGACTCGGCATACGGCCCTCGCCACAAATCTCAGATTAAAATCTTAGGGCTGACTCGTTGCTCAGCCCTTTTCTTTCTGGGCCTCTCAAAGCAGGGTTGTGTTGCACAAACTTGTGTGAGGATCTTCATGGCTTCTTAGAACCTGCCCAGTTCTGGAACGGCCACAATATCAGTTCAGTCTCATAGCCGCATTAATGCGCTGCATTTATTGTGTTGTTGTGCCATGCCGTCTGTCGTCTCCGACCTATGGCAACCCCGGGAATGCAAGCCCTCCAGAGCACCCCGTCCTTGAGAGCCATGCTCAGCTCTTGTAATAGTACAGTCCAGACTGTGGCTTCCTTGGTGGGCCAGTCCATCTCCTCGTTGGCAGAAGAGCAGGCAAACTTTGGGGTGAGCAGCCCTGCTCTGGCTGGATCCGAAGCGCCACGCCGCAGGCCAGATAGGCTCGAAGGCCCTAGTGCAACAGGCCCACGCGTTGCAGCTGGTGTCGCTCTGTTAAGATGGAGCACACCGGGCATCCTACAGACGTAATGTGCCATTCATCTCAAAGCTCCCCTTGCCTTCCTTTCCTGGCTAACTCTTTCCTAGTTCGTCAGCCTGAGGACACAGCCCACCCCTTGGCGTTGTCCCAGAGCCACTCTGTGGCTACACGGCATGACAAAAATCCCATAACGGTAAAGGAACGGATCAGGCCCTGGTTGTGCGCAAAGAAGATACACGATAAACCAAAGCAGGAGGAGTTGGCAAAGGAGCGCCGTCCCTCACTTGGGAATAAAAAAACGAGCAGTGAGGTTTGCCGCCTTGCCTAGACGGCAGACACCCGGCCGTAGGACGGGGTCTCCCGGGCCATCTAGTCTGACCCCCGAGCCATCGGAGGGACCAGTCCTGCAGAAGGCTGCCATGCCGTTTCCCCTAACTTCCTGCCCTCCAGATCATTTCTCTGTGACTCCAGGAACCCCTGACCCTTTGCCATGGGCTCAGGCTGATGGAGATTGAAGTCTGAAACATCTAGATTGGGGAAGGCTGGTTGGGGTCAGGTATTCTGCGTGGCAGCAGTGCCTGCCTCTGGATGCCTGATGCAAAACCCGGCATTTCTGCAAAGCAAAGGCTGTCCCCCTGCAGACCCCAGGCGACTGCAAGGAGGGACATCTCACTCGCAACTGGAGGGGGGGACAGGTAGCATGCGACTCCACCCCAGGTTAGCACAAGCGCCACTTGTCGAGCGCTTGTGCCAGCCCGTCTCCATCCCCCAAGTGCCGGTGGGTGGTGCGAGAGGGGGAGGCTGGCAGGTTCCAGCCCCTCCGGAGGATTCCCGGTTGTCTCCTCAACGGAGATTTGTGAACGAAAAGTGAGAGAGCTGAGATGAAGCCATGAACTGAGCAAGACGAGGAACTGGAAGGAGCAGCTCTTTGGCTCTTGTAATTAAAAGAAGAAGAAGCAGCCCAGGCCAATAAGTGGGGAGGGGGCTCTGAAGCAAACCAGCAAGAGCAAGTGCTCCTCTCCGGGGGTCTCCATCTCTCCCTCAGTGCCTTTGCCAGAACCTTTGCATTTGTTTGTTTGATTGATATCCTGCCTTTTTCCTACAAAGGGCTCAGGGCAGCTTACATCATTCTGCTCCTCCATCTTATCCCCACAACAACAACCCTGTGAGGTAGGCTGGCGTGAGAGTCTGTGGCTGGCCCAAAGTCACCCAGCTGGCTCCATGGCTGAGCGGGGACTCGAACCCAGGTCATCTGAATCCCAGTCCCATGCTCTTCACCACTGTACCACACGGGCTCTTCTGCCATACTAGAGGCCTGGTGCGTAGCTCTGGACACAAGCGAGCCGCATTCTCCGGCCCCGCGCCGGCTTTTCTCCGGCTTGCTTCTCTTCACAGCCACAGAAGGCCCAGACATGTGCTCTGCTTTTAATCGGTGCTCCCGTGGCTGCCCGGCCTTAGAAGGGAAAGCGTGGAGCCCTGAGGCCAGGGAGATCGAGAGCGACCTCTCTCCCGCCCCTCCGCCGCCTCTGGCTGGCGCTCTCTTGTACAAAGACCTTTTCATCTGCAGCTTGCAGAGGGGAGTTGCTCAGAAAGCTCCGAATGTGGCCGTCAGGCAGGAAGCTGGACTAGAAATAAAAGGAAATCACGTTGGGCATCAGAGAGGACAAATTGGTACAGTGCCCCCCCCCCCACCCCGCTTTAAAACATACCCTTCATATGCTTCACCCGGACTTAGGAGATTTTTTTTTTTAATGATGTGTGTATTGATCAAGATCACCCACTCACCTTTCAACGAACTTATCTGGACTGCCAACAAAATATTCGTTTTTAAAAAGCTATCCTATGAAAATTTATCGAAAGATAAATTAATCTATAACAGCTGAATGAAAATAGCTCATGAGCCAGAATGAAAATAGCTCATCAAAAGTCAAACAGCCTGGAGAAAAGACAGTCTTTGCCCAGCAGAAGGACCTCTGCGTGGGCTCTGGGCCGACCTCTCCAGGGAGAGCCCTTTCGTTGTAACCGTGCCTCAGGCATGATGGCTGGGGAGTATGGAACTTGCAGTTCATCGCACCGAAGGGCACCAGGTTGGAGAAGGCTGCTTTAACAGTCAAGAATTGCCCCTTCAGTTGGGCCCAGAATCTGGCCAAGATGCAGTCGGGTGGTTGCATTCGACCCATTTGACATCTTAGGGTGACCCCGGGAAATCGCTACACACATAGGGGTTTTCTAGCTGAAACTGGGTCGTCTATATAAATACAGACCCCGAAATTTAGATTCAGGCAGTTAGCTGGTCAGATAAGTATTTGCTCAAAAGCACTCGAGTATTTTTAAAACAATTTGACTCATGCCCACAATCAAGGGGGGGGGGGTTAATCATCAACAGGTTGGATACAAAGTCAACTTTATTTTGAAATAATGAATTTTGCCAGTTTGTGGAGGGTTTCAAAGTTGACATTTAATAAAATTGTTACAGGAGTGAATCATTCCCTGAGCAGCTCTTCTGGCTGACATTTGTTGTAACGTACCAGGGCCAGCCTAGCTACAAAGGACTTTTTTAAATAACGAAGCCAAAATAGAGAAAATACAAGGAACAGCAACTCCTATGGTGAGGGAGGTCACTTTTTAAAGGCTGAGTTGGCGGCAAACCCATTCATCGAGCTTCATGTAGCAATTGTCGATGGTTGACTGCTGTGAAAACTTAGTAAAACAGAACCTCCTTATCCAGAAGTAGTCTATCTTCTAATACCAGCTTCTGGGAACAAAGAACAGGAGGCTCCATTTGCCTTCACACTCTGCTTCTGAGGATCCTATAAACCTTGTGCCTGGTCACTGCTGGCAGTACAGGAGCAGAACGCACCTTTGGTTTTGTCCAAGAAAGGCCATGCTTAAATTCCCATGCTCCACATGTGCGAAAAGCATGGATTCCATCCTGCAGATCAGTTTCCACTGATGTTTGGACGTTGCTCTTGGCGTTTGTGTCTTCGTAACCTGACCTTTGGCCTTGACCAGCCCTTGAGGCAGATGGCAGTCATATTTCATAAACCTCCGCTCAAAAGAGCCCAGACCACAAGCTGAATAAATTGCAGAAATCATGGTACCAGAAAGAAGAATCTTTCTCAGATTCCTGAAGGTCCAAATCTCAGGGGATTGAATTCCACAATTCCTTCTTAAGTTATTTTAAAATATTTTATATTTACATTTATAAAATTCCACAGCCGTTCTCACTGAAATAAAGAAGAAATCTATGAATAATATGAAGCAGTGCAAATTAAATGAAAGCATTAAATGATGAAGTAGCGGCGCAATATTAAATAGGAGCAGGGCAATCAAGTGCTTGCAGTGGCCAGCTAAGATGTCAGTCGGCCAACTCGGGAGGCTTCCAGATTAATTTATTTTTAAAATCAAGGGCACTGTACCAGTTCTCTTCCACCTTTCTAGACTCGGGACCAACCCACCCTCTGTGGTGCTGCCACAGAGCAAGCCACGTGTCTGGGCTCACATGTATTAGCAGTCAGTTCACATGACATCATGCCCGAGTAATAATCCATGAGTTCCTTTGCTGGACCGTTCAGGACTAACAACCCCAAGTTCCTGAGTCGTCGGCTAGTTTGCTGGTTTCTTTATCGGATGTATTTCCCCCGTTTTTCTTTGCAAAGATCTCAAAGGGGCCTGCACCATTCTCCTCCTCCCCTCAGTCCTATCCACACAGCAACAGCCCTGCAGGGCAGGATGGACTGAGGGTCTGGGACTGGCCCCATGGCCAGTGGGGACGAGAACCCCTATCGCCTGAGTCCCACGCTTGTAACCACTACCCCACACTGCTCTCCTAACCACAGCCCAAGCCTCAGCAGCCCTCCACAAGGCATCCTCTGGGCTGCTGTTGCACCCAAATCATCAGGCTTCCATTGCGCCAGAGTGAGACCCGAAGGGGCGCACGATCCCCCGGGAGCAGCACGGCTCCCGGGCACGATGGCAGAACCCGCTTGCCCCGGGCTGCTCCCAGGTGCTGCCCTCTCTGGGTTTGCCTCACGCAGCAACCAGTGCCAGGGAGCGGGTTGCGCAGATCCCCCTTCCACACAACCAGCCGCTCCGGCAAAGGGTCTGTGGCTGTACAAACGAGCCCTCTGCCCCCGAGCCCAGCACCGCCAGGCCAGACCCCGCCACATTCCCTGACACAAGAGCCGCAGCGTGTCGGGGCCGTGAACGTGGCCTCCGCTCAGCCAGAGGGGAGCCATTACGGGCAGCCTGTGCACTGGGACGCGGCTTGCTCTGCACAAAAAGCAGTTTGAATTCCCAAGCCAGGACTGCCCAGACTTGCTGCCCAGGGTTCCGCCCGACGACTTTGCCCAACCTGGACGTGGCTTCCCTGATTTCCCTTCGTTTGCTTAATTTGTCCTGCACATTCCTCTTACCCAGGCATGGAGAGGGCCGCCCCCTTCCGTCCAGTCCCCCTGGGATTTCACTGGCCGTTGCCCTCAGATTCCCCATGCAGTGTCGCTGCCCTAAAGCCTCGAACCAGCCACCTCCCCGTTGTGTGTGTGCTTCGGGAATGCTCAGGATCCTCAGAAGAAGGATCTGTGTCCTCCCTGGGCACCCCCACATCCGACAGCATCTGTGCACCCTGCAGGGACGCTGGCAAACGCCCGCGCTGCGTTTTGGGCCTTGGCGGTTGCCCCGTGCAGTGGCTCGGCGGAAAATTCAGGCAGACCGAGCGCGCCATCGGCTCCCAGAACTTGCTGGCCGCTGGCTTCCATAGCTTTGAAAGGGGGCTGCCCTGGGCGCGGCAGGGGCGGGCAACCTTCTGGAAGCGGAGGGCCACGCTCCGGCAGCGTGAAGCGGTTGGGGGCTCATGGCAGCTGTGTTCGGCTGACAGTGACCTCCTCGTGCACAGGGAGGGTGTCCCCAGACACGGGTCCATCGTGTCATGCAGCTTGCGAGCGTCTCAAGGGCATCTTTTTGGGGAAATCCCATTTTTTTGAGGAAGAGAGAATTTTTGAGTGAATTTAGATACTGTGCTAGGTGAACCTTTGGCCCTTTTTGTTACAGAGTTTGGAAAGCAAGGGTTGAGGTCCATGAGCATGAATGAGGCAGAAGCAGGCAGACCAGTGCCCTACAGGTGGTGTAGGCTGCAATTCCTGGCCATCCTGGCCACAGGTCAGGGATCATGGGAGCTGTAGTCCAAAATCCAAAGGTCACCAGCTTTTCTCCATGTGCCTTAAGGGACAGAGTGCTGAAACCCGGCCAGATGGGGCAAACTTTTGTCTTGGGACTGTACTGTCCTTTTTTCTCATGTCAAAGGGAGTGCAGTACACCTGTCCTATAGGAAGTGGGGTGGGCAGTTCGGGCGGGGGTCTGTTTCCACCAGCCCTCTCCACCAGCAGGCTAGAGGGAGCGCTGCAGCACTAGGTGTCATCCAGGCCTCATGGGAACATCCGGGGAACGCCAGCGTCGAGAGCCTGCATCAGTAGCTCATTGCCAAACCCAGCATCCTCTGGAGCTCCCGCTGCGCCCAGGCCGAGAAGCTGCGCCTTGGGTGCAGAGCAGGCCTCGAAGGCAGGTCCGCCCAGTGGGACCCCTTCCGGGATGGGAAGAGGCCCCTCGAATCGCCCCTCCAGCCGCAGCGCTGCTCGCACACGCAGGTCCACTCGCTCGCTGGCTCTGCAGACGGCTCCAGCGCACACGCCTTGCTGAGCACGGGCGGGAGGGCGCCGGGGTCACCGACTGAATGGTTTCGATTAGCTTAATGGAATGGAGCTGCCATGGAGCCCGGCCACGGTGCCGCTGGAGCCTCGCCCTCCTCCTCCATGGCGGGGCCGGCTCTGGAAACGGTTGCCGTCTGCTTCCAGGCCTTGTTTCCATTATCTCCCTTGTAAGGTCTTCACCCCGAGTGGCAGGAAGTGCTCCCAGCTGGGGGAGTCGATCCGTAACTTTCCCAGGGAAGAGTGAAGCTCAGTGGCTTGGAAAGTACCAAGGCGAGGCCAAAAGCAACCGGGGGGGGGTGCAGTTCTGCCGGGGGGGGTCTTCTGCACCTCTCCTGGGGAAGCCCCCCGGAAAATGAACCTATGGCCAGAGCTCATTCCCAGGTAGCTGATTTTGTTGGGGGTGCCGCGGTTTATTTCAGGGCCTCCTCACCTTTGTCCAAGTGCAGCTTTCTCCACCCTGGTGCACGCCCACCGTTTTGGACGCACAGTCACAAAATCGCATTGTGCAGGGCAGGAGGAGCAGAAATATCAGATTCTGGCAGATGAGGAAGCCATAGGATAGGCACTTCTATACAAGTAACCAAGGCTGAGTTGGTTTTAATAAATCAGCTTGTACACCAAGGGCATTTTAGTGAGTAATAAATAGCAATACTAAGAAAATAAGTTTGTGTGTATATACACATCAGCCCAGTATTTTCAAGCAAATCGGAGATTCCATTGTCAGCCTCCAATTCTCTGGTGTCTCTTGAGAATCGATGCTCAACTATTCAGATGGGCCCAGATTCAAAATGCTAAAAGCAGGAAAGTTTTCGGGCACCATCTGGTCTCAGGAATGCCAAATGAAGCCCCAGCCTGACGATACTATTGGTTATCTCTCAATATCTGACCCTGCTTTGCCTCTTGAATTTTGTCACACATGTTCAAGAACCACCTGTTGGGTATTCCAGGAACGGAGCTGACTGGAGCTGGGGGTCAGACTAGATAGCCCGGGAGACCCCTTCTGACTCTATGTGTTTCTAAGAATTCAGTCACAGTCTGAGATTAGTTAAAGGGGAGTCCAGGGCCTTCGCAGACATGAGCCAAGGGGAAAATCTCCCTGCATGGAGATAGCTAGCATGTTGGGGAGAAGGTCTGGCAGAAGTGTTGCGCTGCCGAACTGAATGAGCTTCATGCGGGAGAGGAAGCAGGAGTGTGGCTGATTTCAGAACAGTGCTTGGATCTTGGCCTTGCCTCTCCTCCGCACCAGCGCAACTTGAAGTCTGGCTTTCTCCGCAGGTCAGCGCCTGTTTGGGGAGACCATCCTGGGGCTGACGCAGGGCTCCGTGTCCGACCTCCTCGCCCGCCCCAAGCCCTGGCACAAGCTGAGCCTGAAGGGCCGGGAGCCGTTCGTCCGCATGCAGCTGTGGCTGAACGACCCCAACAACGTGGAGAAGCTCATGGACATGAAGCGCATGGAGAAGAAAGGTAGTTTCTGTTGCGCGGCAGCACCGGCCACTCCCCTCGTGGAGCCGAGCCGGGCAGGCCCGGAGTGGGCACACGAGGCCTCTCCTCAACTGATCCCACTGCACCGTGGTCCTTATGGGGTGGATTTATTTTATTTTTAACTTTTCAAGACCGTCCCATTACCAAAGTCTTGGGGTGGTTTCACAAAACAACATGTACAAAATTTAAAACACAGCATCCTAAAACTTCAACTAATAATAAAACCCCAATTAAAACAGTCAGGTCTTAAAACATTGGGAAAATAAAAGGTTTTGGCCTGGCACCAAGAAAGAATAAAATAACAACACCAGGTGAACCTCTCTGGGGAGCGAAATCCTCAGTTGGGGCACCACTGCAGAGAAGGCCCTTCTCCCAGGTATTCTCCATTATCATCTCCTTCGGGGAGGACTTCTGGAGAGGGGCGTCTGCCCCAGATCTTAAGGGGCGGGCAGGCAAATATGGATTGTTATTAAACACCAGAAATGAGCCCTTGGGCATAACTCCGTCACTTGAACCCTGTACAAATCATTTCAGAAAGTCTTCTGGTCCCCCAGAGGAGATGCCCCCGCCGTAATGACCGGTCCTTCCTGCCATCCAGCCAGCCCTGACTCTGGGCAAGGGAGGCTACCCCAGTGGGATCTTAGTTGCCATGTCCGATCCAGGTGTTCTGCGGTGGAAAAGGGGGGCTCCCTGGAGAGCCACTGGTGGCCTGACTGGGCCACTTTGGTCCAGGGACTGGGGGAGGAGGGAGCAAATGCACAGCTGGAGCCAGGTGTGGGGTGCCACCTTGCCTCCAGGGATGGGCCCCGCACAGCTGGCCCCGTCGTCCCACTGCAGTGGGGGAGAATGGGTGGTCCGCCTGGGCGGAGCGTGGGCTATGCTGAGGAAGCTTGGGTCCCTCATAGCCCTGGTTGTTCGAAGGCAACTTTTTCCCAGCTGGGCACCCTTCCGACATGCTGGATGCCCATGGATGATGGGATTTGGCATCCAGCAAGCTGGGAGGGCGCCCGGCTGGGAAAAGGCAGCTCTAAGACTGGCTTTGGAGTCTGGGCTGCAATTGTGTGGACTCCAGCGCCCCCTAGTGCCCCAGTTGCAGATAACTCCTTGGGCCATCGGTTCAGCATGGTTATCTGGCTGGAGGAATCACAGTTGGGAACACCGTGTGTGGTTCTTTGCATCACAAAATCCCTCATTCGGGCCTCATCTTTGCCTTGAACAAGCAAGTTAATCTGTAAGCATGTTCTGGGGGCAGAGGGGGGCTTGAGGGGACTGTCTGTGTTCCTGCCACGTCTCCGTTTGCCTTGATTGATTGCCCAGCAACCTGGGTCCCTATCATCGAAGGCCTTGGTTATACTCATCTGTAAAATGGGTAGAATGCACTGACGTAAGCCGGGTTCAGTCATTGGTCTGGCTAGCACAGTGCTGTTTGTCTTAATTGGTAGCTGGATTCCAAAAGAGTCCAGGAAGCCTTGAAAACACTCCGTAAATGTTGTTATTTCTTAATGCAGTAAACAACGTATGCCCCCTGCAGCCAGGCGCTGTGGGCATCTTAGTTATTGCCCTTTTCACGGCCAGCACACCTGACTCCCCTTCTCCTCTTACCCTCGCAGCAGCCTTGTGTGATTCGGCTGAACGCCAGGCTGCATTGCTACGGCGGGGGTGGTCTTGAACGCAGATTCCGGAGAACCCCCCCATGCAGTGGGTGTGCACACGCATGCGTGTGCATGACTCGTGGCGGAGAAAATATGCTTGGGAGCAAGTGAGCAATGCCAGCTGAAAGCCGGGAATAAATCATGCAGCCGAGAAGAGATTTACAAACCTTTCCCCGTTTGCATGAATTCTGCTTTCTCTGGGCCAGGTTGCTCCGTCTGTCAGGGTTAGATGGAGACACGTGGTCTCATTCTCAGCCAGTTTTGGTTAAAAGGCCATTTTCATCTTATGTACGTCTACAAAACATTCCCCCTTCTGTGCTGAGCAGAGCCAGGGGCTGGTCCCTCTGCTCTTCAGCTCACCACCCCCTGGAAACATGGGGCAGTCATGCCAGAGGTCTTTCCCACACTTGTGAAGAACAGGACTTGGGGGATATTTGTGCAGAAGCACCACGGAAGCACCCCCCAGTTCCTGGCACACCGTTCCTTAACCCTAAATGTCGGTCTTTGGCACCAGATTCCAGAGGGTGGATCTTGGAACACTTGCAAAACCCTCCCCAAATTAGACCCTTGAGAGCTGAGGTCAGCCCATGCCCGATTGAGGGCCTTGGTGTCGCCGGAGGTGATCAGTGGAGGCGGGTTTGCAGACCTCCCTGCCGCTCGGATGCTACTGGGTGGCTGGGGAAAGGGCCAGGGTCTTGGAGAGGAGCTGCCAGTCAGCCCCGTCCGCATGGGCTGCAGAGCCTTCGCTCTGGTTCCCTAGGCCCAGGCAGCGTCCGGTGTCCACCCGCTCGCTTTCGCACGAGCCGGCTGCCTTCCCGCGCAAGTAATCATGCGCCTGCCTTCCTCCTCCAGCGTACATGAAGCGGCGGCACAGCTCCGTCAGCGACAGCCAGCCCTCGGAGGCTTCCTCCGCCGGGCTGGATTACAGCCAGGGAGCCAGCCCGCAGCCGCAGCACCAGCTCAAGAAGCCGCGCGTCGTCCTGGCCCCGGAAGAGAAGGAAGCCCTGAAGCGAGCCTATCAGCAAAAGCCATACCCGTCACCAAAAACCATTGAGGAGCTCGCCACGCAGCTCAACCTGAAGACCAGCACCGTCATTAACTGGTTCCACAATTACAGGTACATGGCGCGTGGCTCCCAGAAGGGCCGGCGGCACGTCCCCGCATTGCGCGTCCGAGTCCCCTCTGGCGAGAGACCGGAGGTGCTCGAAACAGCTCGGGAGCCCTCCCCGCTCACCCTGCCCTCACGTGAACCGGTGCCGTGGTCTCTCGTGGAGTATTGAACGCCTCTGGTCTCGGCCCCTCGAAGAGGACTAATCCTCGGGGCTGGGGCAGCGCCCTCGAGGGAGAGGCACCGCTGCAGGGTTGCTGAGCTCAGAGGCGAGGCGGGACCGGGTGGGGACGAGGTGGGCAGGGGCGTGCCTTTCTCCTGCTCTTGTGGTCCCAGAGCCCATGAAGCGGGTGTGGGGGGACCCGGGACAGATCCAGGGAGGCCCCCCTCCAGCAGAGGTTTGAACTACCGAATCTGCTTCCATGTGATGGAGGGATGCCCCAGCGCAGGCAGCTTGAGAAGGGATTGGACCGGCGCTTGCAGAAGGGGGCTGCTAGGCTTCGCCAGCCCGAGCAAGATGCCCAGGCACCCCAGGGCCAGAAAGCCGGGGCCGGAGGGGCCGCTGCTCTGCCCTCCCGCTTGCTGGCGGCCCACAGGCACCTGTGGAGGCTGTCGCCCCCGAGGACGCGGCATAGGCCCCCTGAGCTGGGAAAGGCCGCCCGAGTGCTCGAGGCCGCGGGAGTGGCTCCCCCAGGAGGAGCAGTGTCGCCCTGGGAGCTGCGGAGGAAAGAGGCTGTGACCAGGCAGGTGGGGCAGAGCAAGGGTGCCTGTTGCAGGAGGCTGGGGCTTGGGGTCGCCATGAAATGCGGTGCCCTCGGAAATTCAGGGGAGACACAAGAGGGGCTCTCGGTTAGTTTATTTAACCAGTCTGCTCACAGTTGGGACTTAACTCTGGAAAGCAGCTGTAGCAAATGATTCAAAACAAAAAACGTGTATCTGTGCTACACTGGCAGGCGACAGACATGTCTCCCCGCACCCTCAGTCAGAAAGGTCTCCCCAGAAGGTCTGTGAGGCACTGGGCTCTTTGTGGCCAAGTGGATAAAGTTATAGTAAAGAGAGGGGAGAAGAAAGGCAAGGGAAGGAGCTTCTGTCCATGCCGTTTTTCATCCTAAAATCATCTGGCCATAAAAATGCGATTATTTAGTTAAAGCATTTACATCCCATCTTATATGAGAAAACATCCCAGGACAGCTGACAAAAAATTTAACAATTAATAACAATTAACAAAAATTATAACAATTGGTAACAACAACAAAACAACAAAAACATAATATCAGCAAAAAATCCAAATGAAAATCAAAGCCAAAAAGCGTCTGTGAACGTTAAAAACCGATTAAAATTTCTAATTCCTAAAATGACCGGTAGATAAGGAATATAAACTCGGCGCCAGGCGAACCTCTCTGGGGGGCACATTCCAGAGTCTGGGTGCCACCACAGAGAAGGCCCCACTCCAGGTAGATGTCCTCTGTACCTCGTTCAGGGAGCCTCCTCTGCAGATCTTAGGGGGCGCAAGGGCATGTAGGGAAGGAAGCGCTCCTTCAGGTATCCTGGTCCCAAGCCGTTTAGGGCTTGATAGGTCAAAACCAGCACCTTGAATTGGGCCCAGACTTCAACTGGAAGCCAGTGGAGCTGGTCGAGGACCGGTGTCACGTGAGAGTAACGGCCGGTCCCCATCAGCGGCCCGGCAGCTCTGTTATGAACCAGTTGAGGTATCCGAACTGTCTCCAAGGGCAGCCCCATGTAGAGCATGTTACAATAGTCCAACCGGGACTATTTTCCTCCCCCGCTCCCTCCAAAAAAGTGCCCCTTCCCCATTTTCGTGGCCTCTGAATGGGGCCGCACAGTGCAGAGGCATTTCCGGCCCAGTATTGGCAGTAGCGCTCCCTCCAAGCGAAGCCCTCAATTCTTCATTCTTCCCAAACAGTGAGTAAATGAGCGTTTTACATCTCCAAGTCTCGCAGGAGACTTTGGAAGCTCTTCTCCTGGAGGCAGTATCGAATGGGTTTCTAGCTGGGCTCCCTGGATGCAAACGAGGCCTACAGAGTCAAATTGATAAATCCGTTTGATTAATCCAGAAACATGTTGACCAGTGGAAGAGGCACAGCTTTCTTGATCAGCTGAAAATGTGCCCCTGTGTGTGCAGGGTTTGGGGGCGTTTTGCTGCTGGTACTTAACAAACTGCCAGTAGCCAGTGCTGTCTTAGAAAAGCTGTGCTCTTTCGGGTACCAGAGATTCCCCTCCTGTGATTACACACACTTTGCTGCAGCCGGGATCTTCAAAACTCAAAGTGCGATCATTTCTTTTTGTAAGACCTGCTTTGCCCCTTTCTGTGCAGACGATGCAGTCTTAATGAATTAAAATTCTTAATTGATTGCCGTGGAATTATTGCAGATCTCTCTGGCTCACCTGGCTGTTGTTGGAGGGCTGTCTCCCCTCCCAAGAAACCCCTTCCAAGCCACAGCAGGGAGGGTGGGTAGAGAAACCGCAGCCGGCATGCGGTTTCTCTGACCGGGGCGGGGCGGGGTGGGGGTGCTTCTTTGCCTTTCCCCTGGTCTTACCTCCCCGGGTGGAATGTTTCCCAGGTTTGAAATACTCCGGGGAAGAGGCTGGATGCAAATATTCTGGGGCGAGGCCATGCGTGTTTGCCTCAGCGTCCTCACCCCGTCTTGTCTTCTGGCATCTTTTCAGATCTCGCATCCGTCGGGAGCTGTTCATCGAAGAAATCCAAGCAGGAGGCCAGGGCCAGGCGGGGTCCAGCGACTCTCCCTCGGCGAGAAGCAGCCGGGCGGCGCACAGCTCCGAAGGAGACAGCTGCGATGGGGCGGACGCGGAGGGCCTGCCGGACGCAAAGCACGGCGGCGGCCCGGAGGGCGAGGAGTACAGCAATGCAAGCACAAAGTCTCAGGGAGGGCGAGCGGCCTCAGCTTTCGAAGCAGGGGAAGAGGCACTGCGGGACGCCGGATCTGCAGAGAAAACGGAGACATTCCAGCTGGGAATGGAGAGCCTGGAAGACACAGATGATGAGGGCAGACTGAAAGCACCGCGTCCGGGTTCTCCGCCGGGCTCTCGGCATTCAGGAGAAAATCAGGAGACGACGCCCAACTGCGCGCCGGAAGAGGATGCCTCTACCTCAGCTTGTGCCACCTCGGTCCTTGCGGGGGAGAGCGTGGAGAGAATCCCCTTTGTGCCAAGTACCAGCTCCACACCAGCCGCCGGCACTCAGAGAGCCAACTCCCTCGAGAGCTTGTTCGGCTTCTCGGAGGCGGCCTGCTCCAAGAGCACGCGGGACAACACCTTGAGGAAAAAGAAGGCCGCGAATTTGAATAGCATCATCCACCGCCTGGAGAAGGCCGCGAGTCGAGAGGAGCCCGTGGAGTGGGAGTTTTGAGATTAGGCTCACCCAACTCTTAAGGAGCTGGGAAGTGACAACTTGGACCTCCGCTGGTTTTAATGGTGTCCCGCACTTACCGCCCTGCAGGCCACAGGGCAAAAATGCCATAGGCCCAAGGTGCATATAGAGAACGACAAGAGCGTTTAAGCCCAGTTCTATGTTTGTGTTTTCGAGGAAGAGAACTGAAATGTGTAGTCCGGCTTTTTGTGCCCCGAAGTGTTTCTATTAATTGCCCTAAAGTGATTTCCAGAGTTTCTGGGGAAGAAAAAAAACTCATACAGCTTTGCCTTCTGCCCTTCTCTTTGGTGTGGGCTTTAAAACAAAAAAATATATACAAGCAAGAAAAGAAAATTAAACCCACATATTTAAAAGGGGGGCTTTTTATCTGCCATCTAATGGCTAAACAGAGCGATAATAATACACTATTATCTTCTTTAACCAGGAAAACAGAAAGATGAGAGGGGAGATTTTTTGAGAAAAAGAAAAGTTTTTTTGTAGCTGTTCAGTTGCCACTAAGAGATTGCACAGTCAACCCGACTCTAAACACAGTAGTTTGAATTCCTAAATATTTTCAAGAAAAGAATATTGTTTGAAACTTGGGATTTAAAAAAACACATTTACTCCACATATTTTTTAAACAAACAAAGTCACATCAGGAAAATATCTTAATTTGTGGTAGCTGACTTCAGTGTTTTTCTTGTAAAAGTGGAATAGAAAATTGACTCGTAGTGCACATCGTTTCATAGCTTTAACCGATTCTGGTCTCTTTATGGGCTGGGATTTGTTTAATACACTCCATTTTAGGCCAAATCAGGACAGAAAAAGAAGAAAAAAATTCTGAAATCTAGGTATTTTATAATCTGCTTTTTAACCTCTAACCACAGAAGCACGCAGATCAGACCTCATTTCTAGGAGGTGTGGGAGACAGCTTGGAATGGGGGCGTACTTGATCGGTTTCGCTTGAATTGCATCACGCCAACCTTGCAGACAAGTCCGTGCAAGTTACTAGTCCTCAGCCCGCCTAATGACACAAGCCTGTGTTAGTCACTTGCGCTCTTTAAGAAAAGAACCACCACCAGGTTTCGAAGGGAGGGTGGTGGTTGGGGACATCTGGTCAGCTGAAAATAGCCCTTAACTTGCCATAGGCGATCGGGTGGGCAGCAAAACCAGCCTGTGGTTATGCATAGTTCTGGGTGGAAGATGGAAAGGTTCCGCTAGTCTCACTCTTGGAAGGGTAAAGGTGCAACTTGCAAAATGCGAAGCGGCAAGAACAGGCCCCGTCTCGACGGGCCCGTCAGGTCAATTGCCACACAGCTTCCTGCTCTCACCTACCAGGGAGATCAAACGAGGCCCTGTTTCAACACCGTTAACTAATTAGCCAATTCCCGCGGCTCCACAGCAAGCACTGATTTCCGTACGTTTCAGCTGTGGGCGTGAACTGCTTTGTCTGAACCAAACCGGGGCAGGCCTGGGAAAAGAGCACGCGGCACTTGACCACGGCGTCCGCTGCGACGTGAGCACGGCTGACCACGCCGCCGGCAGAAGCACGCTGCACCCTTGCCCTCTCCCGCCGCTTTCCTGGCAGCCCCACGGCCGATCAGAGTACAGAATCGAATTTCCAAATTGTCTCTGACTCCTCCAGTTGTCTATGTGTATATGCGTGAGCACAGAGGTGTGTGGAGGGATGAGTGGGTGTGTGCATGTGTGCAATTTTATACGTCTGTATTTTCTTACGTACTTGTGCACGCATAGAGTGCATTTACTGCCACCTTTTTTCAATAAGCTGTTTTATCAGTTAACGGCTTCTACAAGTTTGCTGATTTAGACTCCCTTATTGCCATATCTTTAAAACTAACGATAGATGATTTCGGTATATATATATTTTTTTTGCTTATTTATAGGTGCTGTATTTTATTATCTGATTATTAGGAAGGGATGAAAGGGGCAAATATTCTTTAGAGGGATAGACTGCCGGCAGTATTGGGTATAATTTACAAGATGTAGTTGTCATACTGTATATTATTGACAGACTCTTTTTTTTTTTGGACCGTATTGTGTATCATGGAAAGCTTTGTTTTAGGTCAACATCTTTTGATGACACTTTAATGGTGCATTAATTACTTCTTAAGTTCTAATTAATATTTACTTTATGCTATTGGGGGCAGGGGGGAGAAGCATTCTGATTTGAAATTATGTTCCCAACATGACAACTCAATGTGCTTGTATTAATCAGTAATTAACCCTGATTTTATTTTTATTTCGACTGTAAGATGCAAAACCACCTTCCTTGCATTTTTTTTAAGGAAAGTATATATTTTACAGTCTCTTTCCAATCCATGACAGCAGCACTTAGCTCAAATCTTCACAAATGTGAGAGTTCGGTAGCTTTAAAAGAAATGCCTTTTCAAGGTCCCATCGAAGGCTCTGGGAGGCTGGAAGTCAGGTTGGCTTTTACCCTGTCTTGCGGTTAATTTCACAGTTTCACGGGCATGTTGGGGTCTGAATTCCGGGGCTCTCAGGTGCAGAAGCACGCCCGCTCTGCCACATGTGGCAATGCCCGTTTGAGAATTTGGCCCCAAGGAAAGCCTGACTGTTCCTGTTGGCGAATGTGCCTGGCGCCGGTGCTGAGGTTCCGTGTCGCCTCCTCTCGGCCCAGGCATGGCCTCCCTTTCCACGCAGAGTAAGTTTTTGTCGTTCATATTTGTCCTTTGAACCAGCAGCTCCGGCACCCCCAGGACGCTCAGCCTGCACATGGAGGGCGGGGCTTGCGAGAGGCATTTCTCGGCCCCTGCCACGAAACCTGGACTCTTCTTAGAATGGGGGGCTGGCAGGCCTTGCCCTGCTTCGCTTCTGTCAGGCCGTGCTCTTGCACGGTGGAGGGCGCCCGCTCCGCTCCGTCACCGCCTTCCTACGTCGCCTCCAGGATGCTTGGCAGGCGCGACGCGTGCGACGGGCCTCGGCACCTTGCCGTGTCTGCGCAGGTGCCTGTGCTCCATCGCCAGTACGGTGCCCCCGCAAAGAGCCCTTAGGGCCAGCTGCATGCCAGCGTTCAGGGTCCTGCCACTTGTCCTGATAAGCAATACTGAAGTGCCTTGAAAAATACGGGATTCTGCTTGTCTTTCGTGTGCTTTCCCTGCCCGTCTCTGTGGAGCACATCCTGGTCAAGATGCTCTCGTCCCTCCAAGGACGGTCATGTCTCCCTGCCCTGCCCTTCCCTCCCTCCACCCCCCACCCCGGGGCAGGTCTCCACTTGGGAGATCCGGCTCATCACAGGAAGCGTGGCTCACGGAGCCGGGGGCCCGTCGGTCACCCAGCAGATGGGGCTGGTCTGCCGACAGCGACAGTTTCACATCCAGAACGTTCGCAGCAGGTGTGGCGCTTGATGTTGTTTTCAGTTCCTTTCTGCTTTTGGCGTGAAAGAGAGGCTGGGACGGCCCGGAAGCGTCATCACGGAGGGCACGCGTCTCCTCCTCCTCCTCCTCCTGCCCTGGACCTGCCGGGACACAATGGGGCTTCCCATGCCGACCTCACTGGGCTCATTGCCGCCACCCCCAGCTTCTTGGTACCGTCCGCAGGCCCGTTTGCAGCGCTGGGAGATCAGGAGTGCTCACGGCAGTCCTCAGCAGCAGCATTCCAGCACGAAGACGGCAGCCCTGGAGGAGCGTGAGGGAAAGCCACGTTCCCGGCAGCGGCGTTCTCTGCTGGACGGGGGCCGCGCACCAAAGCACGGCAGCTTCGCTGGCACTGTGCCCGTTAAGCAGCCTGCTGCGCATCATGAGGGCCGAAGAGCGTTTTCCGCCCGGAGCAGAAGGCCAGGCTCCTCAGGACCTTGCAGCGGCCTCCAGCCTCCGCCTCCCGTGTCACTTGCTGCTGCACTCCACCTTCCAGATGTGGCGGGACTCCAACCCCCATTAGCCCCAGCCTGCATGACCCCTGTTTGGGGGATGGAGTTGCAGCCCAGCACTCCCTGGGTTGGCACGAGCTGCTCTCCCCTGCTTTCCCCGGAAGGGCCTGGCTTTTGGGGGAAATGCAAGGCAGAAGGCCGCAGGGCTGGGAAAGGCTCTTGCCTGCCCGTTGGAGAGGCTCCCGGCCTTCCCCCAGCATATTGCTTTGGAGACGTGTTGTCCAGGCAGGGTGGGAACGATGGGAATTGCAGTCCAGCCCACCTGCCAGGCAGCTGTTTGGGGAAAGCTAGAATGGGCAGCCACAGACTGACTGCCGGCCTTCCCTTGGAAGCAAACCGCCAAGGGGGCCATCATCTCCTGTCCCCTTGCCCCTCCCCCTTGCGCATCATCTTGCTGGCCTGTAGCCAGTGCAGAGGGAGCGCAGGGGACCCCTTCTTCTCTCCAAGCTCTTTGCAAAGGTTTGAAATCATTGCCCGCTCCCCCGTCTTCTCCCTGCCCCACATTGCCATGGCTTCTGGCCGTCCAGAAAGGCCGCCCTGTCCCCAGAAGCTTCCTGGGGCTCCTCAAGGAACAGTCCCACAGCCCCAGGCTGGGTTCCCCAGGCAGCCCTGCTGATCTCCCGCGCCAGTGCCTTGAGGGCCCCGGAGTTGCCCTCCTGCAGCTGGCCCACCTGCACCGCTCTCCTTGATCTCCCGCCCCCTGGACTAGCAAGCTCAGAGGCTCGGCCCGGGAGATGCTGGAAAGATCCCCCACCAGGTGCCTGGTGACGCAGGGGGGCTGAATTGGGCTACCCACAGCGCTCCCGTCTTTGAGCGTTGCACAAGCGGACTGGGGCAGGTGGGAGTCTGGCAGCATCCGGAGGGCTGCAGGTTTCCCGGTGATGCTTTGCGTCCTCGCACGCTGCGACGGATGCTTGCAGGATAAGCCCCCCTTTGGCACCTCTTCTTACACCAGCCCTCCAGTGAAGCCCCTTCCTGTGTTTTGCCGGGCTCTGACCTGGACGAAATGGCTTTTACACCTGTAAAAGCTGGGGGTGGCGGCAATGACTTGGCTTAAGCAGCAATACGACGTAATTCTAAGTGCTGAGTCGCTACATTTCAGCGTGCAGGGATGCTGCTGTTCATGCAAAGCAATAATTTGTATTCTTGATGGATCAGTGCTGAAGCACAAGCGAAGATGGTGGACGTTGTAATGTGGGACGTGGCTGTAGTGTTTTTCCCCAGGTGAATTCCTCCATTTGCAGCGACTAAAGAACCGGGCAAGCAAAAACACACTTTTGATCTCATGCTTCTAAGCTCCATTCCAGCTAAATTTGCTACGTACACCTTGGTTAAGAGCTGTGCAGTCTAGAATGTGGCACTGCATCTTCCAGGAAATAAGAAAGATGGCCTTCTCGCTGTGTGTTTGAGGAAACCAGTATGCTTCCAGATCTGTGCCGTGGACACTCTGGCTTTTATCGCAAAATAAAAGGATTTTGTTGCTTACCATTTTGGAAAGAAGGAAAAAGGGTAAGAAAGAAACCTTGCTCTTCCAAAGCAACCTGGATGGCAAAACGTGTGACTATTTATCGAATTAGATGAAACCGAAAGAGTCCTGGGGTGGTGGAGAGCTTCTTTTTGTGGATCTAAATTCTGCTCAATTCTCTAAAACTCTTATCTATCAAAGGATGCTCTGCCACCTTCCCTGCTATGCCCTATTTCAGAACTGGGACCAAAACGCAGGCAAACTCCAGCAGCTCAAAGTTGGAGCGATCCCAACAAGACCAGCCTCTGGGTGTGAAAGTGCCAGTTGGTGCTCCACACAGGAGACATTCCCAAAAAGCAAGCAGAGGCAGCCATCTCCCTAACCATTTGGAAGGGGAACTTTCATTTGAGAGGCACAAAAGAAGAAAAATCTTAACATCATGATGCAGTACATTTGAAGTCCTGTTATTGTGCAAATAAAATGAAAGGCATTTACATGGCCGGGTGCCCACCAATTTGGACTAGATTTTCTACTTGAATGGAGGAACAGAAAATAAAAATTTTACTGTATCTCTGTAAGTTAGAGATTTTTATCTGGGTTTACTGAAAGCGGAACATCCGAGCGACTAGATTCCGAGATGAGCACCAGAATGCTCCGGGTGTCTTGGATTACAGCTTCCACAGCCCCTGACTGTTCCTGCTCTTGGCTGGGGCTGATGGCACTTGCAGTCCGGAGGGTGGCACATCGCCTCCCACTGGTCTCACTTGTCTCAGGTATGCTCTCGCCTCCCTCACCCACGGGGATCGCATCCCAGGCAATACCGTCTTTCCAGTTTGCACACGAGTCTGGCTGGTGCAGCCGAACAAAGCAGGTCTGCATGGAGCGATGGCGTCCGTCCATGCAGCCATCCGCAGAATGCCTCTTTCACCCCTTGCTGTGCAAGAGAAACGGAAGCGACACCAAAGAGCCGGGCAAAGGGCAGGGCCTGCTAGGACTCCCGTCGCGCCATGTACCTTGGCTGCTTCACAAAGGTTTGCCTCCCGCCTCCACTTCCACGCTTCTTCGGAACCAGATGGTGGCTTCCGGCTTGCTCCGAGGGTACCTCACCGTGAGAACGTGGCCTGGCTTTGCCGTGCCAGCAGCAGTCTCCCCCCGAATGCCAGCTGCTTCCTCAGGGTGCACCTGGGCAGACGGTCCACTTCTGTGCATCACACGGAGGGCAGCACCGAGAACTTGCTCCAGTTTATCTGTCCAGTGGGATCCATTTTTCAAGAAACCACAAAGTTGCTGTGCTCGATTAGACTTCTGCCTTCGTCTCTGTCCTTGCGCATTTCTTTTTTTGGCTCTTCAGCCTCTTGCTCTTCAAGTTGCATATGCACTTCTTAAAATGCGTGGAAACAATCTGCAGAAATAAGGTGGCCGGATGATGCCGGGGTGGTTGCAACCTTTAAGACATTGAGGCTTCTCAGACGATTCCCCCATCCGGTGGCAGGCACGTCAGGACAATGCCCTCACTATGACGGTGCGCTAACAGACGCCTGACCCATTGAGTGGGACTGAAATTCTTCCCATCCTGCAAAGAATCCAAAAAGAGGCTGAAGAAGAAGAGGGTCTTCGGTGTTTCCATATCCCCTTTGGCAGGCTCTCGAGCGCGCAGTGACCATGGCTTGAGTTCAGAAGAGACGCGTGCGAAGATTTGGGGCAAATCCCGGGACAGCACATTATCCCACTGGTTGTAGATTTGGCTGAGGGTGAGAGGAGAATTCGGTGCAGCAGGTGCAGGTGGATTTCACCGTTGTGGTTTTCCTATCCAGGGGCCGCTTTTACACAGCTGGCTTTGGTTTTTGGCCTTACTGGGGGCCGTGTGAGGAGAAAGCCGCTGGGGGCCACCCGGGACTCGCTTTGGAGTTGTCGAGGATGGGCTTAGGCCACCGCAGGGCAATCCAGCCCCTCGGCTGCTTGGCATGCTGTGAAAACGGATTCCCCTCCCCACCTGCCCAGGGGCTGGAACCAAAGAATGCTTCAGGCTTCTCACACCTTAGATACCTGGCAGGCATACTTAAAATAGCACAGAGGGCTGTTAAAATGTTAAATTGCCATTATTAATGGCTTGATATATGTCATGCTTTTAAAGCAGGTTAAAAAAGCAAAATGCCTCTTCCCTTCTTATCTGAAAGAATAATTCTGCAAGTGGCTTTGGGCGCTCGAGTTAACTTGCTTAAAAGCATGAGTTGGTTCGGGTACTGTTGCACAGCGCTTCCACGTAAAAACGCCGGCAGCTCCAAAGAAGGGGAAGTGGCATCAGCACCGCTGGTTCCGATGCCCATAAGCTTCCCAGAGCTTCCATTTACAGAGCAGGTGGTCCATTCAGTCAGTAGAACTTGCCCAAACTTTCCCCTCTGCCCTTCAGGCAGCCCGGATCTTTCCGGCTGTTCAGCTCGGGCACCCAACTCTTGTGCCAAAGAAGGACCTTGGGACACGCACCGTGCTTTTCGTCGGATCCCATCAGCCGCAGGGGGAGAGCCAATCTGCCTGCTGTGGCCAAAGCATTCCTTGTTCTGGGTCTAGTGTCTCCCACCCCCATCCGGCGAGCCCAGCCCCATGCTCCACTCCGTTATGTGCCAGTCTTGAAGACCTCTCTGATGGCAGCCTGCACATCTGTGACAGCTTTAGAATAGCTCAAATCCTCACCACCCTCTGGCCCCAGTACATCTTTGAAGGTGGCTTGGAAATTTCTCATTGCTGTTTCGAGCATTGTCCGTCTTAGTAAGGAATGTCTAGTTAGAATACCCTTCTAACCAATGTGACTTAAATGTATATTAGCAAAATCCCAGTGTTTTGGAGATAACAGTTTAATTGACAAAACCCACCCCAGGTTCAAAGGAAAGGCAATTTTTATTTAATATTTCTCAGTACACATTAAAGTAACACCCCTGTGTTTTTCAGTGGCATTGATTATAATTTAGGTCACTAATTGAGAAGAAAGATCCAGGGTGCAAACTGATGTGTGTTTACTCAGAAGTAAGCCTGCTTTATGCAGTGGGACTTGGTCCCAGACAAGTGTGCCTTAAACTACAGCCCTTTGCACTCTTACCTGAGAGTAAGTCTCATTAAATTCAGTGGGACTTACCTTATGAGTAGACATACTCAGTATTGCACTGTTGATTATTATACACTGAGTTGGGCATTTTCAAAGGAGGTGCAGACACCTGGTGAGGATTGTGTGGAAATCGTTGCCTCGGGTAGGATGCCTCTTCCGTACCTTATTGTTTCAGTAAGGATTTGTGGCATCAATGGGTTAAATTCATCTGTGGATTGGAGCCCTGCTTTTAAATGCTACTGTTGCATGTTTGAATGTCCAAGCATCTGTTTTTTCTGGACAGAATCAGTGTGGAAATGGCAGCCATGTGGTGTTTGTAGCCGTGGAGAGGAAAGCCGCCCGCTCCTTCGAGGACCTGGGCCACGCTGAGCTGATTGGAATTTAGCCCTGCCTTAGTGGGAAGTCCTGTCTCCTGACCAGGCACATCCATCCGTCTCGGGGACGGGGGATGCCGCTTTTGCTCCATTTCACCGCCCGTTTGCATGCTGAACCGGTCCTTCGTTACATTTGCGCATGCTGAGCATTCAGCCCATAAGACGCCCCGTGTGCCAGCGCCCCTGCACCCGTCAGTAAAGGACCCCACTGCACCCCAGCAAAAGGAGGTGCTTTGCAGAGGTGCCCTTTCTTAGGAGTGAATAGGGAAGCCCCCAGGTGCAAAGCTCTGCGCTGGGGAGAGAGAACCCCAGGTGTGCGTTTTTGCGAGCGATCCCATCTCCTGGCTGAGCAAGGGTGAAAATTCGTTCTGCTTTCCGGAAATGAGGGGTGCGTGGGGCATAATGTGCCGCGTCAGGCTGAAGTCACGCTCAACGCCGCACAAGCCACGGTGCTTGGTCTTGCCTTCCCCAGGACTCGCAACAGCTCCTGGTGCGAAGTGGCTGGGATGCCCCTGCTTGTGAGGCCTTGTCTTGAGCGGTGCGTTGTGCGGGAAAATGAGACTGGTACCCCCTTGCACGTTGATGGCCTTTCCGCACTTCCCGTTTGCGAGTTGACAATGAATTGCTAGAAGAGCCCACACTTCAGCGGCAGGGGAGGGGATTTCTGGAGCTGGGATGTGGTCTGCTTCACCGTTTCCACCATTGCTTTCCCAAATATGCTGAACTTTACTTTGGATGCTTAGACAGAAGTCCGCTTGCCGCGCTCCTTTGTATCCAAACTTTGAAAATGTTTTTGTCATCTGAAGCCAGCTTTGATCAACTTTAGTAAGTTTTCTTTTAACCAGAAAGTTACAGCCGCCGCCTCCTCCTCCTCTCTCTTTCTCTTTCTGCTGGGGGATAATCTTACAGCATTTCAGTGTGTGGTGGAAAATACATGGTTAGCATTTCTTTTAAAAAAGCCCTGACCAATTGCAAAAGGCTGAGCCAAAAAGCAGCTTGTTGGGGGCACCGTTAGTTAATCTTTTCGAAGCACTTAAGAGTGTGCATTAAATTTTTGTGCAATAGAAAAAAAAACTATTTGGCTAGTCTATGTAGATTGTTTGAACTTAACCATGATAAGCTTTTCAGGCTGTAGCGTCCTGGCTGGCTGTCCCAAAGTGACTCCTTTGGTTTGGTGGAACGGCAGCATTTGTCACCCAATGCCAGAAATGGTGGGTGAGCACGTCCAGCTTTTTGCTAAGTGGCGACAGAGCTCATCTCTCCACTGACCTTCCAAGTGATAAGCCTTTCACTGCTCTCTCAGATTTCTAGCTCAGGGGTCCACAGGAGAGAAGCCGTTCTCCGTAGCATGACTGAAGTTCCACTTGGAACGATCCTCTGCATTTTCTTGCATTACTTGGCTGCAAATACTCCCCAAAGTTACGTGACCCTGGACCTGAAGGGCAGTTGGAGTCAGCTAGCGTGGTGATTACCAAATTCCGTAGCTGCGTCCCCCTTTTTGGGTGCCCTGCTCGCTCTTCCGTGATGGCATTTCTGTACAAATCAATTGATTCACTACTTCAACAACACAATAGTACACACTGCCTCTTGGAAGTCTGATGGCCTGGGCACCCCCTCCCGCAATTTCACCTTCTGCAGCTAGCCAGTCACTTTCTTACACATCCTTAATGGACACTGAAGCATCTCCCTCAGCTTCTTGGTATCTTGGAATTAGGCACTCGTGATAAGTTCATTCCAGTTTAACTGGGCCTGTTAAAGCAAAGAGAAAGCACCTGCAGGCTGCCTCTTCCATCTCCGTCGTCAGCACTTACCTGTGTCAGCTGCATCACGAGCACACCTATCTTTGTTCCACCCAGAAAACTCGCAAAAATGTCGCGGCTTTCCTGTTTGCAAGCAGATCATTTTCCCCATGATGTGCTTTCCAGAGCTTTCTCAGCAGCCGTGCACGCACATCCCTTGCAGGAACCCCCTGCAAGATGCAACTCCTAGACGCGGCACGATTCCCACGCCCCGAGTCTGCCAATCAGGGCCCATATCGTTCTGTTGTACATTCTGAGTTCTTTGTAAATGTGTATAAAGTTTTTCTTAATTTAAAGATATTCTGCTTCGAGAGTTTAGAAGGACACCGATGCTAGGGGCAGGGGGAGTAGAGAGGAGTCAGAGGTAGAAAGATGCGTGCAAAGAATGAAACGTTTGGAGCCTCCTTGAGCCTGTGGATTTGGGTCCGTGAAGAGGCATTTTCTCTGTTCCCAAAGTGCATTGCAGTTTCAAGAAAAAGTGAGATTGGCTGCTTTCTTCCACCAGGGTTCCTCTGTAAGCTGTGTCTGTTTTCTGAACTAAACTTGCCAGGTCTGTTTCGGTGTGACCTGTGAGAACACCCCTTGGAGGGCTGCATGGCAGCCGTTGGTGGGGCCCTTCCGGAGGATGTCTCGTGTCAACTTTCCTTTTTTAAAATCTTCTGCGTTGGCCCTGCACCAGGTCCTCTGTGGTGCAGCCACACTCAAAGCCTCTATGCAACTCCCAAAGTGGACCTAGATGCTTGTGGAGGGAAGATCTCTGTGGGTCCACAGAGACAGCCACCCACTCGGAAAACTTTTGGACGTGGGCTAAAGGGGAAACACGCCACATGAATGGTGTCTTTTGCTGTGCATCTCATTTGCTTTGGGGGTTGAATAAGAATTAATCTCACCATCTTGAGCTATGAGGATTTCACCAATCAGAGAAGGTCCCAAGAAGTGTTGGAACTTAAATAGTAAATCGCATTTTGTCTCTCCTTCCCTCCCAGTCATTGTCCAACTTTCAGAATAGCTTTTTTTGGGGAAAGGGCGATTAGTTCACCCCAAACGGTGTCGCACCAGCCCTGGCGGCACCTTTCCTTCAGGGTTCGTTCCTTGCATGCCTGCAGTGATAAGGGTGTGGAAACTGCGAGGACTTCTTTAAAAAAACGAAATGTGGGACATTTTTTGTAAGAAAGGACAGCAGAGTGGTGTGGTGTGAAAACCGTCTGTGGGAAGGTAAAGGTTTGAGCAAGGCAGCAGCTCCTGCAAAGACGAAAATAAAGGCAGCAGGTAGTTTCTGTAAAGACCAAGCACCCCGATTCTGTTTAAAAGCAGTCCTTGGCCCCAGTGCAGGCAAATCTGTAGGATGTGAAGATATTCCGAGCTGGAATGGATCGTAACCTCCTCCAAGAGTTGGAAGCACACGGTTGGGACCCAACTGCAGCAAGATCCCTTGGGCACAATCCACCAGGAACAGCATGGACGGGACTTGGGCCGTGATGGGTACACGAAGAACTTGAATTAGTTTCTGGAAGGCCGGGAAGACTTCCTGGTGGATCGTCCTTCCAAGCCAAAAACCAGCCCCCTTTCCCACCCCTTATTTCCTTAGGGTAGTTTGAACTGGTCATAGGGAGGGGAGGTTTCATTAAAGGGGGTTTTTGTTCAGTTTCCTCTCCAAAATAGTCTATGCATTTCCATTTCCGAAAACCATTCTCTGCTGCTTTTCTCCACCCCCCCCCCTCCAAACTGGCACCGTGTGCTCCACATGCAACACTCCAAGAATGTCATGTGTGCAAATTTGGACGTTTCAATCCAAAGTAAATGGCATCCTACCATTTTCCTTTGCTTTCCTGAAGTCCCTTTTCATATATATATAATTTTTAGTTGAGGACACAGTCTGCTAGGAAAGGTCCAGTGTATACCTATCTCATGGAGGCGGGTTTACACACACCTTCCCAGCACATTGTGCTCTTAAGAATTTATTTTTTATTTTTTAATTTTATTTTTTTGCATTTGTGCAATAACTACTTGCCATTTTAGTGGGCTAACCCTTTGGACTTGCCCTGACTACTAACGCAGCACAAAATGAATTCAAAACACAAAAAAGGTGTATTTTTTTTCCTGAGAATATTTTCTTTTTTTTAAAAAAAAAAAACCCCAATAAGCTCCATTTTACCCCCGTGTACGTGTGGTGTCCAACATTTTTAGCAGTATTTTATATATATATAAATATATATATATAAATAGATATATATATTATTTTTTCCTGTAACGCACTAAGTCTTAGATGTTTTTAGAAGCTCGTTTCTTATATTCACAATCACCAATTTTAATGAAATGCCCTCACAAAGATCCAATTGACCAAAAAAAGTGTCATTTTTTAATTTTTATTTTATTTTATTTTGTACAAGTAGCTTTGAAAGAAGCCCCACGTTGTGTTGCTGTGATTTCATCTTTTGTAACCTTTTATTTCTTGGTCAAAAGTTTATTAAAAAAGAAAAAAACTTTTATATGGCTAGCGGTGACGGAGCGGGGAAAGTGGCGTTTCCCCCGGCCTTTGGCTAGCCATTCCGTGTGTGTTTGCAGCACTGTACAATGCCCCTAATATGATATGGAGAAGCAATATCACTGTACGAAGCTCACATGATGTATTATTATTCACTAGCACCCTAGGTGTGATAATTGAAGTAAATATCTTTTATACAAACACAACGACGTGTGGTTGTCTTTCTTGGACAGGAGGCATTTTGTCACTGGGGTGGGTACCACTCAGGCCGCCTGGTAGTTGACGGACGTGCCGTAGAATCCGAAGGTCTGAAAGCTGCCATCCGCGGTCGCCTGTCGTGTTACGTTTGTCTTGAGAACTGAGAAGGACGGTGTTTTGAAAATACTAATTGCAGAGATGTGAGCGAAAATGAAAAGAGAGCCAAACTGTATGTGCGAACACGCAGACTCGCGTCTGAAGGGCGGTTTCCAATTCAGTGGAAGAGCGTTGAGTTCAGAGATGAACCCCAAGTGTTCTGCTTGCAAACGCTTGTGTACCTCTTTGGAGCCAAGTCTTTTTCGTGCCCCTGGGGCAGAACAATCCATGTTGATTTTCTCCTTCCTTTTGTGTTGCTTCCCCTCCAAATGAATAAAAATTTAATATACAGTCACCCCCATAAATCCTTCATCGGTATTTTTTGCATTTATATCCAGACTTGTTTTCTGCAAGGTCCCCAAGGCAGTTTATCTCACCCTCTTCTCCAATTTATCCTTCTAACAACCCTGTGAGGTAGGCTAGTCTGAGAGCCAGAGGCTGGCCTGAAGTCACCCCCATGAGTGTCAAGGCCTCCTGAATCCCAGTCAAACACTTTTACCAATACGCCATACTGGCGGTCCTTCCAGTTAACATCAAAACATCAGCAGTAAGTATGTGACCTTAAACCAAAGCTAATGCTTCTGAATTCCTATTTTCTCCTGGATTTTTTCTGCTTCAGAATGAAATAACAGGTGGCATTGCTTCTGAAACTCAGCTTTTAGAAGGAGCCAACCAATTCATAAGCATACTAGTCACAAACGGAATCCCTGTGTATGGAATCCAACTGTATTTATTCATTTAGCAGACTTATATGCCGCCCCATTCGCCTAAGCCTCGGGGCGGCTTACAAATAAATAAATATCACTGGTACAATAAAATACAGTTGGAGACATCCTGGCCAAAGTTGTTAAAATCAATAAATAAAATCAACAATTAAAATGATGTTTAAATAAAAAGGTCTTGGCCTGGCGCCGAAAAGCAAATAACGATGGCACCAGGCGGACCTCTCTGGGGAGCGCATTCTATAGATTACTGTAGCCAAGTAATCAGATTATCTCAGTACTTAAATCAAAAGGTGTCCTTGTTTAATTGGGCAGCACGCTTTAAGGATGCTACATTCTTTTTGATGCTGGTTAAAGGATATATCAAGATGGATATATATGACAAGCACCCCTTTGTGTTCTGCAGAACAGTTCTGAGCAAAGAGGGTTTCCCAGCCATCTTCCCGTTGTGCCAAAGATGGCAAACCCAGCAAGAAGCAGGTCCAACTTCTGATAAACCAAGGACAGCTGTTCTCTGGTACCTGGAGGAGTAGTGAGTCGAGGGTTAGGTTTTGTGGACAGCTGGCTGCTCAGCCTGGTCTTCAGTAACGGGAGGAGACCGTGGGGTCACCAGAGGACTGCCCCTCAAGTGGGACAGGTGAGCCAAGCTCAGAGGGACCAAAGAGCCCTGACTTGACACATCCACACAGAGACACACATCCTCAGACTGCACTCCATTTAGCTCAAGGGGTGATTGTAGATGGATGGAGGGCGGTGTCATTTTTAACCTTTGTGCAAACATTCTCCTAGTTTTTGGCCTCAGACCAGCATTGTTCCTGACACACACAAACACAAACACAGAGAGAGAACCAATGAGCAGTGTGAACAACAACACGGGACTGGGATGCAGTGGCATCAAGCTTTATTCTTCCTCCCGAGGAGAAGGATCCCCCTGGCCCAGTGCAGGGTGAACGTGTGTTTCCTGTAACTCTGCCTTTGCAAATATTTTCAAAGTTCATGACGGGCCTTGGCATGAGCCAAAGGTTCTGGTGCATGTCAGGATCTGGGATGCTGTAGTAGTTGCTGGATTGGGCCCAGGCCGTGATAAGTGCCGGCTGGGAAGAACTGCTGTCAAAGAGCCAGCTCTTGGCTGGCCGCCTCAGCAGCAAGGTCTGCTGGCTGTGGTGTGGTTCTGCATCGGAGCCTTGCCGCATCTGGTTCCTCCTTCGCGTCACCATGTCGCACCCTGCCTCGCTGTCCCCCCTCGGCAGTGCAGGCCTTCTGCTAGCTGTGCTTCAGTCCCTGCATCGCGCCCGGCCCTTGCTGCATCCAGTCCCTGCCCCGCCCCGCCCCATTCCACCCTGCCACCTCGTCTCTTCAGAGCAGGCCTTCCTGCTTGCCACAGCACCTTCCAGCTCCTGTGTCTCACCCAATCCTTGCTGGATCTGTCGCCTTGCTGTACCATGTTGTGCCTTGCTGTCCAGGGCCTTGCTGTCTTGCCTTGCCTCGTCTCGTCTCACTACCTCGCCTTGCTTGCTGCTCCCGGTCTCCCTGTTTCTCATCCCTCGGCTCTTCTGCAACCTCATCCTTGCCTTTTCCTTGAGAAGTACTCCTGGTTCCTGACTTGGGCCTGTTCCTTGGCTTTGGTGACTCGGGACTGTGTTTGGACCCTGCCCTGCCTTGAGTTCTGTTGCCCTGGTCCTGGCGCCTCTGTCTTAATTCCTCTTGCCCACATCCCAGACGTGGCTGGAGGACCCAAAGGCTCTTCAGCCTGGGCACACGGATGGAGTTGCCTCTGGAACAAGGAGAGGTTGAGTTTCCTCCTTGCTTTGCACAAAGTAGAAACTGCCTTCCTGGCATGGAAAGGAAGGCATGGTATTGATTTCCATCTGAGGGCATGAATGCGGAGCTCCAAAGGTCAGGGAAATGGTGAAAGAATTTGTGGGAACAGCAGGAATTGGGGAGCAGGCGTACAAATTCTGTAAAGGATTGACTTTCTGATTTGATTAAATAGGATACTTGAATGTCTTTATTAACCTGTCCAGCTCTTGAAAAATCCTTCCAGTGCACAGAAAACTAGTCTCTCTTTTGGAACAAATTGATATTCTTTGGATTAAAGTGCTTTAGTTCTCCTCTTATAGAAAAAAAAACCTTCAGGATGTTTTGGAGAGTTTAGATTTTAGGTTATTCGGAAAAAATACTGGGTTTTCCTCTGTGTTCTTGAAAAGATGGTTCTAGCGTGTGTGTATGTTCTACTTTTAAAATGTTGTTTTTAATTGTTCTTTTTTTCCGCCTCCTGGCTCTAGCTTGTGATAATAAGAGGCAGGAATGGACTGGTTTCCTCAGTTGATTTAGTTTCTGAACGATGCTAAGCAGTATAAAACTGAAGAGGTGTCTTACACACACACACACCCGCCACCCCTGCGGACAATATAAAGCAACCCAGTAGGATCAACTGGCAAATAGATTCCCGGCAGGCGCTCCTACTGAGGTGGCCATGTTTAATTCCATCCCATGGAAAAAGGCCAGCTTTTCCGAGCCTTTTTCCTCAGCAACTACTTTTTCAGAACTTCTCGCTCCTCTGGGCTTTTTGGTGTCGACAGTGACACACAACAACCTGGAAATGTAGTAGATACTTTGCATCACGTGTGGGCACTCCCGTCGGGGTGAGCAGGAAGGCCAAGGACACCGCCTACGGAAGGAGCTCCTCAGGCTCTTTCGCCTCATCGAACGGCAGCTCTTTGGAGGGCACAGGCGGGAGGCCGAGGAGGACGGTGGGTCGGCAGCCCATTTCTCCCCGTTCCCTGGAATGCCCCCAAACCCGAACTCCAGAGTTGCTTGTACAGTCTTAGCGAAGCAAGTGGTGTGCTTAGTTCTCTGCTGGCTACCAGAGACAGAGCGGTATGGGACACGCGCGCCATCTGTGGACCGGAATCTGAAAAATCCTGTGGCCTCCTATGCAAGTTTTAGGGGCCATAGGACTGCGCGGCTGATTTTTCTCTGGTGGAAAAAACTGGTTTCCGGGAATCAGGTTATCCAGTGGCAGGCCATGGCTCAGGCAACATGCTGCAGCCAGGATGCGGGAGCAGTGAGGGTGTCAGGCTGGGGACTGGGCGATCCAGGTTTGAGTCCTTGTTCAGGCACAAAGCTCCCTGGGCCTCCCTCTCCGTCTAACCTACCCCACAGGGTTGTTGTGAGGAGAAATGGAGCTATGTCTGCCGCCTTGGGTTCCTTGCAAAAGAAGAAAATGAGGGATATAAATGCAACATCATCATCACCATCAAGAGAATGTTACCCCTTTAAATGAGTGCTCTTAGATTTGCTGTTAGCAATAAATGATGTAGGAAACAATATATTGGAAATATCCAGTTGTTTCAGGTTTCAGACTGAACAATATCCAGTTGTTCATGTTGCAACAACCTCCCAGAGCTCAGACTCGAGGCCCGTGTGCCGGTTGAGGCAGCTCCTGGATAGATTTGCTGTCTGGAGGACTGCTGAATTATTCTCAACTACGTCATGTGATAATCAGGCCTGTCCTAGTTTAGATAGTCAGCGCTTGTTGGTTTTGCATTATTATTATCATCACATTGTGTTTATACTCCACCTTTTTCCTTCTTGTGAGGTACCCAAGGTAGCTTACCAAGCTCCTCACAACAACAACCCTGTGAAGTAGGTTGGGCTGAGAGTCAGGGACTGGCCCAAAGTCACCCAGTGAGTTTCGAGGTGGAACAAGGACTCGAACCCGGATGCTCTGGGTCCCCTGGCCAGCCGTCACGCCCCTGCGCCTCATGGTTTCACCAGGGAAGCACCTTTCCTTCACCCAGGCTATATTTCTCCTGTGAGAGGATTTTTAGATTCTTCTTCCTGCCAGGAACACCTCTGCTCCTCCAAGTGACTCCGATACTCATTTTAGCACTGACGGAGTGGGACGGACGTGACATGAGAGAATAAGACACGGCAAGCGCCATCTGGATTCTCTCAGAAGTAGCTTTGACTGAGCTATCCGGCCCAAATTTTGGAGCAGGGCCCTTTATTCATTGTAGGCCTTTGGGACTTGAGGCCAAGTTTCCTGTAGGGCTGGATTAGTGAAGGAGGAAATCTACGGAGTCTACCTCTGTATCTGAACCGGCACTCAGGAAAAGAGGAGTGGA